ATTAATTTAACAAAACAAAAGCCATCAGTCGAAACTTGTCTACTTGTCAATGCATGATATATTTTTGAACACTGTACTTGTGTCATTGTTTTGTTTATTAAAAATCAAACAAACAGATACTTTAATTAATATCAATGGTGATTGTACACTTTTTCATATTTTAATTTATGAACAACAAGATTACTTACATTAACTAAAAACAACAACTTGATAAATGATAATTGAACTAATCTAGAATTGATTACTTTTCATGTATTCTGTTTGTCAACTATTCATTGAAATGTTATATTCAATATTCAAGTACATATGTACAAATGCATGTATGTATGTAAATTTGTCAAAATCAATAGTAATTATTTAACCAAAACACAAAGAGAATGATAGTAGTATAATAAATTCTTAATTCTATACACTCCTCAATCAATGATTTCTTTTTTAGACTTTTTTTTTAAAGGCATACAAAAAAACATGAATGTAGAAAATGTTACATTTCTCTTACAGTTAGATAATGCAATTTATTCTGTTGTCATAGTTGGAACGATGTGGGTGATCAACAGACCAATGTATAGCCAAAAAGTCACTTCAATGTTCTATGGTAACCGCTTGTATGGTCTCTTGATTTGCATACATTTGCATTGAATAGTTTCCCAGCCTTCTCTATTGAACCTGTTCAATGCTTTACTGTTTTATTTTCTTTCTCGATAATAACAAGGAATGTGAATTGAATGCAAATAATTTCAAAATAATTGTACACATGTATTATTGATTGACTACTTATTTTTTTGTCAGCGACAACAATAACGAGTTAAAAATAATAATAATAATAATAAAAAATAAATTGAACATTGAATCACAAAAAACAAAAATGCTAAAACATGTTCAATGATCAATGAAAGGTATAGGATCTGGATTACCACCATTCATCACACTGTTCGCATTGAAATACAACTCATCCACACAAATCAATTTATTCGAATAAATCGATATTATCTCGTGATCAGCAACCGGAATAATTGTTTCATGTTCATGGTGTTGGTCATGGTGTTGTTCATGTTTGTTTTGAACAAAATTCTCATGTTGATTATGTTGATGATTCTTTGAATGATGCTGTCGTAAAAATAATAGTCTACATTTAAATATTTCTATGAGAGTCTGACGAAATGTTGGCATAAATGCTAAATACAGGAAGAAATCGAACGCATGATTGAATGAATCAATCGAACTGAATAATTTTGAATATTGAACAATTTTCTTAGCATATTCTGGATGTAATATATCATATTTGTAAAAATACACTTGTTGTCTTAAAATTATGATGACCACTAATGGGATAGATAAACCAGTGAATAGAATACTAATAGCTAAATGTGCTATCACTTTACCTCGTTCATTATTACTTGACTCATCATCTTTAGTCCCAATCAATTTGGATCGATAAACAGCTGTACTCAACTTGTACAATATCAACAGATTCGTAATAAAAATAAATATAGCCGGTAGGATAGCTACACCGACAATATATAAATATAGAACATATTTCACACCGCCTGCCACTGGATTCACATATTGACATTCACGTGAATTATTGATTGGATGAATTTTTAAATCAGCAAATATTAAATGCGGGATATTTAATAATAAACAAATCACTATCACAAAACCAATTATGCCATGAGCTAATTTCACATGTGAACTTTGTTCAAAATGTTTTGGATTATAAATGGAACAGACACGATCCACACTGAATAACATCAGAATGAAAGCAGCGATTAATGCTGAAGCATCAGTTAAATAAGTAAATGTTTTACATAGAAATGATGATTCAATGTCAACTTGTACAGAATATTTACATTGTGTAGCGTATTTTAATCCACGACCTAGAAAATCATCAATCAATGTATTGACAATTAATTGTATATTATGCGCTATAGCCATCCATATTGCATATAAATTAAAACGACAATTGGTTTGATGTTCAATAACAATGAATACAAGTATCACTAGCAGGTTAGATGGTATACCAATGATAATTAAAATAGGTGATACATAAGCACGAAATGTATACACCATAATTTCTTCATTTGTTAAATGAATTAAGCATCCTTTAGAATTGAACATGGTTTTGTTTAAATTTTCTTCTATTGCATTAAATTGTTATTTTCTTTTTTTTAAAAAAGTTTTTTTGAAAAATGCGGTTAACAACTACAGAATAATAAACAATATTCATTTTGTTTTGTTTTATATTGAAAATTTCGAAATTAAAATAACAAAAGACGAATTCAATATTCAATTGGAATATTCTTAAAGTTGATTCGACGGAAATTCAAATCGTCAACCAAATTGTTTTCTGATTGGTTAGCATAAATTTAATTATTTTTTTTCAGATATTCATGTTTTTATTTATATATTTATCTATATACATGTATGTAACGTGAGAGTTGATTTCTAAACAAGACCATGTTGCTTAACGTTAAACGTTTGATTGTTTGATTGTACTTAAACGATAATGTTGTTGTAAATAAATACTAATGTCAAGGAAAGAGGAGTTTGGAGTTCACGTTTTATCTAAAAATAAAATAGTATATATGTGGACTTTACTATAGTTATCACGAAAAAGAATTGATCACTGATGTATTTGAATTTATACTAGCTCAATGGTGATTTTAAACATCTGCAACTAAAACATTATTTGTATTACGGGGTTGTGGAGATTGTTAAGTTACACATTTTTGAAACCATGAATCGCTCAATGTGATCAGTTTGTGAGGACTCTTCTCCGAGTTCTAAAGGAAAGATGTGACCAGTGAAGTTCATCCTGTTCGGAAGTAGATAATAACTACCGAACACGGTGTATGAGGTTGCGCAACTCCGTGAATTGATCGAAGTTAGACATTAACACCGTTAGATACCGGCCCAGTGGTCTAGAGGTTAGGTGTTCGCGCACAAGACCGAAGGTCCTGAGTTCGAGTCCTTCGGGGTGCAGGTGTCGTGGATGCGCATTGCCACTGATGAGTCCCATATCAGGATGAAACGGCCGTTCAGTTGGTCTAACATTGATCGATTCATGGTTTCAAAAATGTGTACATCATTAAAGCAGTTTGAAAATTTTCGTTTTTTCTCTAATTTATACTCTGTAAATATTACATCCTTAAGATATGAATATGCGATGTATATTTACAACAATATGATTAAAGATAGTGTACTACGCACTGAACTTATTCAAACTGATGATCGATCGTGGTAATATTCTCATTTCATGTTTCGTATCAACTATTTCTTACGTTAGATAATTAGAAACCATTTAAAGAAAGCCCGAATTCGAAATATTGTGAAAGTTGACTCACTGCAGCTTGGAGTTTCAACAATCTTCAGTTGATTCCTTATGTTAGATTTGAGTCGTTCTCATGCTAAATTAGAGACATCTTGACTGAGCGATTCATACGTTGACAAGAACAAACTAGCATGAATCCTAAATTCATGACTTTTTTTATAGAGCGATCCTGAGTAATATCAAATATTGTGGATGTGATGTTAAGTCACAGGATGTATGATGTAATTTCGATAATTTATTAGAACATAAAAAATTAGACGAGAACAACATTGATTGCTGCTCAATGAAAGCCAAGTGTTTATTCTTGTTTGTTGCATGTTTTTTGAAAAAAAATGTTTACTCTTGAAAGCAATTTATTTTCCAACACAAATTAACCAATGATTCTTTTGAGGAAAGGTACTATTGGTTAGAATAGAATACAGTGAATCACAGCCATTAACTTAATAACCCGAATATTATTACAGAACAGCTCAGACGATATTTAAAGAGAAAAGTCATAACTGACATTTTTTCACACATTCAGCAGATATTCTAAGGAAAGAGGCTAATCGATTTGACTAGCCACCTGCTTTTGCATTTATTTAGCCAATTTTTTAGGGATATACATATAAATATATACGAACCATGTAAACAGAAAAATATTAATTAAAGCTCATTTTATTCATCATGTCAGAATTTTTGTTATTTTATACCCTACAAAACTGTCTACTAACACATTCAGTCTGATTATTAATTGCCTTAGTATTTCTCTTTTCATATGTGATTTTTATTTATTCTAAACGTTAATCTCATCGTTACAACGCATCAACAGTTTCATTTGATTAACAGTTTTAAATACATAAGTTACATTATTGGAAATGATGTATTGACCTTAAATATAGCCATAGTTTTTTCGTATATCAGTTTTATTTAATTTTGCGCTTGAAGAATAAAAAACAGTTTACTGTGTTACATCTAACCTTTTAAGGGCATTTGTAACGATCTGTGTTAGCTAATAAAAATATTATTATTCATTCAGACTAAATTGTTGAATCAGTCTATAAAGTCATGAATTTTTTTAACAGAACTAGGCAAGAAAAGTGTGAAATATATTAATTTATTTTATATAAATTAAACCTTCTATTGTCAAGCGCAAATTTACATTGGTTTTCAAGAGAACTAAGGAGACTGCTCACGTGTTAGCACTTCGACATGAACAGTGCGGCTTAATCCCATGGTGCAACCACACAGGTACCTGACACCTTGGTAGACCAGTCACATCACTAGTACATATATAGTGATTATTTCCCATCTATGATCGCGTCAATCAATATGCACCCCATGAATAGGCCATTTCGACCCATCTCGTTTACATGACTCTCAAGCTCATTATTATTAGCAATGGTGATATGCAGCAGTATAGCACCCCAATGACAATGACCCTCGCGAATGTTACAAAACAGCTACCACCAGTATCAATGAAATTAATCGCTCCGCTAACAATTTTTGTATATGGACTGTTAGCAATACTTGCCAAAGCAATATCATGCCATCGACAATGTTTACAGCGAACCTCTGGTCTCATAGGAGACCGACCTTCAACTCTATATAGCAGTATACCTACCATATAGTATACACATAGTATGGCATAGGATAGCAAGGAAAGTGTGAACCTACCATTTAAAAGTTATTATTTAAATAGTCCTGGGTAGTCGACGATCGTAGTGGTCAAGAAAAAGTCATATTCTATTTCCCTACAAATGTTGAGACATTTGTCATAATTTTTTTTTATTTGCAGTTGTTCATTCTCAACCATTTTTCGTTTGATTACTGTTAAGATCATTACAGTAGACAATGTAGTTACTCATTTTGTAGATATGAAAACATAAGTAAAATTTTGTCAACAATCCTACATTGTTGATGCTTAAAACATTTCCCTCAAACAGTTACGCACTGATAGAAAATGTTTTTGAAAATCAATACTGTTATTCTGTGACTAATGTAAACCGGTTTGTATTTTGTTTTAAATTACTATTGGGCGATTACCTAACCAGTCTCAGAATGAGTCATTCATAAGAGACGACCGAAAAGAATTTCAAAAATTGTTTCCATTTGTTATAGTTATTATCATCCACGTACATTTTGATGTATTTGACTTTCCGAATATTTTTATCTTTCCCTTTTACTGTTGGTGCTTATACATATTTAGTCGTATTACCTGAACTAAAACTACGCCGCTGGAAGATCTGGACTTCGCAGATGACTTGGCTTTTCTATGGCACACGCAACAACAAATGCAAGAGAAGAAGACCAGTGTAGCAGCAGCAGGTCTCAATATATATAAAGGGGAAAGCGAAATTTTCCGATGCAACACAACATGCACCAACCAAATCACTGTTGATGGAGATGCCTTGCAGGAAGTTAACACCTTTACATATCTGGGCAGCATCATCGACAATCAAAGTGGATCCGATGCAGATGTGAGGGCGCGGATCGGTAAAGCAAGGGCTGCATTTCTACAAATGAAAAATATCTGGAACTCCAAACAACTTTCAACCAAAACCAAAATCACGATTTTCAATAAAAATGTCAAAACAGTTTTACTGTATGGAGCGGAAACATGGAGAACTACCAAAGCCATCATTCAGAAGATACAAGTGTTTATTAACAGTTGTCTTCGCAAAATACTTCGGATTCGTTGGCCAGACACTATCAGTAACAACTTACTGTGGGAGAGAACAAACCAGATTCCACTGTAAGAAGAAACCAGGAATAAGTGGTGGAATCGGATGGGACAAACATTACGAAAAGCACTCAACTGCGTCACAAGACAAGCCCTCACATGGAGCCCTCAATGTCACAGGAACAGAGGAAGGCCAAGGAACACATTACGCTGAGAAATAGAGAAAGATATGAGAAGAATGAACAAAAATTGGACAGAACTTGAAAGGGAAGCCCAGGACAGAGTTGGTTGGAGAAAACTAGATGGCGGCGTATGCTCCATTTGTGGGGCAACAGGCGTAAGTAAGTAAGTAAGAATTCATATCCTTTCTAATAATGACACAATTATCATACTCATTGCACATCCAAGAAGAGTAGTTGACTGGATAACACATCAGGCATTTCAAATGTAAGATTATTTCGTTAGCGTATCAACACAATGGAATAAAGATGCATTCAGTTGACCAGCCTTGAAAATGACATAATTAGCATCCTGATATTGATTTCTCTCTTTCTATTCTGTAAAATCCTGTGATACAGTGTTATTATCAAGGTAATCCTCCCAAAAGATGTAAATTTACAAAAGAAAGACGGATGAAAAGATTATCAAGAGTACTAACATAAGCTGTTTATAGAATTTTTTAAAGTTGTTCAGTTAAACAATGTACACCTGTCTGTCTCTATGAATTCATTAGCTTAACAATACAAAATTACTTCAAACAAAACAACGTTAATATTAATTATCGTAAATAAGTTGAAAAATTTCTGTAAATTCTAATTTTCTGTAACTTTGTTCAAGTTATTAGTATAAAGTACAGAAATATCAGATAAAAACAATTTTTTTGTTTAATAGTTTCATTCATTGGAAAATACGAAATGCTATCAATGGATGAATGCAAATGCCATTTTATTTTTTTAGTTAAAATTTACTATTTTTTTCGGAATTCAGTAATATAAATTTAATATTCTTCATAATTTGATACATTTTCTACTTGGAGTGAATTTAATTCATATTCTTTGTGTTTAAGGCCTTTTGTTAGGCAAACCGAAAAAAATACATGAATTTAGAATAGCTTCAATTTTGTCA